ATCTTCTGTTTTATTAGATTGAGTCTGGGTTTCCGTGGCAGAAGTGGACTCTGATGGAGAGGCGGACTTGATGAGTTTCTTGGCTGCAAATGGTTTCACTGCTGGCCTCATAATACCTAAAAAATAAAAAAATAAATAAAAATGTTAGTAGAGAACATGTCACAAAGTTGCAAGCCAAAGCAAACTTACTTCCGGTTCTTCGCTGCTTGAAGGGAGTATTCTCCTCCGTGGAATCTGCAAGAGTGGCAATTTTCCTCTTGACTTGAGTTCTAGGAGCTCTCCTTGGCAGATCTCACTTGCTGATCTGGACAACCATGGTAGATTCCAGGTCACCACCTTCCTTTACAACATCTTTTTCTTCAAATTTTTTGTTGAGTGGTGGAAGAGCCAAAGCAAAAATATTGTCCAGAACACCGAGGAACTGAGGATGGAAATAGTCTTGCCACCAACTTCTATAGGAGGGAGTACAACTCAGTCGGAATGGAGGATCTGGCAAGATCATTGTCTGCAATGTCCCAGACCAACTAGCCGCCTTTGAAGCAGCTTAGATCCTTAGCCGAGCTCCACAATTATTTCTACTCAACAAAAATTCTGGGCAGATTTCACTACCATTTATACACATTTCAGCAAGAGATTCCGAGTACTTAAGAACAAAGTAGCAGCTGCAGAATCTGTGAGAAAATCTATAACGAATAGCACTGCTGCTGTCTTTAAGAAGGAAGAATTCTTGGCAGTGAAAGTTGCTCATGTCACACAAGTAAAATATCTCCAAGAGCAAGGGCCGTGAGATCTACTTAGAAACACAACGAAATCTACATCAGATTTGTCAACAGAAAGAGAAGCAAAAAAATCTGAAGCACTCCTCAAAACTTCTCTTGTTCTCCGTGGCATTTTTGAATATAAAGCCGTAAGTGAGCAGATTTCGAGCTGGTACAATAGATGAAATAGGAGCAAGTTATGGAAAATAAGAGTAAAGCCACAACTGCAGAATTCAAAGTGGCCCACCACTAATGCCTAAAGGATGAGCTGTGACATCTTGGCAACCCCTATATAAATAAGCAAGCAGAAAATGACCCAAAGCTAATCGTCTACCATGTGCTAAAGCAACAGCTAATGAGATAAATTCTTTAGTAGGGCCTTTATCAGCTGAACAAACCATATATTTGCGGATTAAAATAAGCAAAAATGAAATGTGCTCTTAAGCATTGACAGACTTATTTTTGTCATAGGCAAATCTCACAAAAGTTGGATAAAAGGACTTCAAATCTACGTTGTATTAAACACCTGGTGGCAAAGTTAATAATGCTAAAATCTCTTCTCCTGTACAAGGCAATCCAGTTAATGAACTAATATCAAAGAGACTCACAGACATGGCTCCACAATGGAAATGAAAGCAATTAAAAGAGTCAGACCAAAACAACAAAGCTGAACTCAAAATCGGGTTGTCTATGAGAAATTTGCATTTGGATAATTGTATAAATTCAAACAAACCCACATCTTTCCAAATTTGACCAAAAGCAAGTTCAAGGTGATTTATCCAGTCAACCCGTTCTGATTTCCTCCAAGTTGTTCAAGTTCCGAAAGGTCCAACCCATTTACTCCAATCGGGTTTCACCTGAAAAGGGAGAGGATGTTCTTTTGGCTGTAGGTAAATGGAGGCAAGAGGAGCCGGCGGGTGAGACACAAAGTATAGACCCACAATCTGAGATTTTTTATGAGGAACAAAAATCTAATTTGAATGGCATGGCTTATGACGTTGGAGTATTCGATTTACGTCATCTTGGAGATTTTGGGTTTGGTAGAGCTTAACCAAATCTGCAGAGGCGATTTCAAGAAATAAGTGGCCTTGGAACCGCCATTGAAGCAGATCCAGCAGATGGCAGCTCTTTGGGATGAAAGGATTTAACGCCAGCCATGGAAGGAGCAAATTCGGTGGGAATGGATTGTCCTTCTTGGTCACCGGCCATGGAAGCAGCTTTTGCAGGAGAAGGTTGTTCGGTGGAATCGCCGGACATAAGCAAAGCGGATCTGCACATAAAATAAAATAAAAAAAAAAAAGAGAGAAAGAAAAGGAGTCAGTTGGCAGTCACCAACAAGAAGAATTTTCGGTGGGGGGCCGCTGAATGTGAGGGGCAGATCTTTCCAAATAAAGTGAAAGAAAACAGCCAGCAATAACCTGTGGAATAAGGAGATCTTTTGGTGGGGCCGTTGAATGTGATGGGAGCAGATCTGAGCGAGCAAAGTGAAGAGAGAGCAACAGGCAGTAAATCGTGAAAGATGAAGAAAATGGGTTAGATTTTACAGTTTTCAGTTTGGTGAAAGCAGATTTACATGCGAGAGGAAGATGAAGCATAAACAAGGCTGTTCAATGGGTTGCTGATTTTGGTTAGAATGGATCTGGAAAAGTATAAAAAAAGTGCGAAAGAAAATAGCCGGCAGCTGGTGGTACCCGTGGAAGATGAAGAAGAAACAGTGAAATTGATTTTTTAATTTTCAAAGAA